CTCTCTCTCTCTCTCTCTCTCTCTCTCTCTCTCTCTCTCTCTCTCTCATCTCCTATCTCCTTCTCTCCTTTTCCTCCTTTCCTTACTCCTCTTCTTCCTGTCCTTATTCCTCCCGCCTTAGCTCCTCCTACGTATCACCCTTCCTGTTAAAATAAAAAAAAAATCTTTTCTCTCAAAATACAATTAGAGCATAACTATACCAATTTGTATCAGTAAGGTACAAGATAGACCCAGTTCATCATTTTGTTGACTAAACAGAACCTCTATCATCTCTCCTAACTAAAAGACTTAGTTCTGAACCTGGCTTTTTTCTTGGCTTTAGAAATAAAAATCAGCTGAAAATCATCATCTCAAATCTTTTCTCTCAAAGTAAATAGCTGGGATTGGCTATGAGACTTTAAGTGTTCAACCTGGTCAGAAATCCAGAATGACTGAATTAACTGAAATTATGGGAAGCACAAAGCATAGCTTCTAAAACTTAGCCAATTTATTGAGACCACTGAACACCTAGACAGTCCCTTATACTACAAAGCATTGGAGCTTCCGATCTTCAGCCTTCTGGCCCAGGATCAACTGATGTGGTGCATGTAAAAAAGTATGATGTGGTGTTTGAATATCCTTGGCCCAGGGAGTGGCACTATTAAAAGGTGTGATCTTGCTGGGCAGTGGTGGCGCACGCCTTTAATCCCAGCACTTGGGAGGCAGAGGCAGGCGGATTTCTGAGTTCAAGAGTTCAAGGCTAGCCTGCTCTACAGAGTGAGTTGCAGGACAGCCAGGAGGGCTACACAGAGAAACCCTGTCTCGAAAAACCAAAAAAAAAAAAAAAAAAGAAAAGGTGTGGCCTTGTTGGAGTAGGTGTGGCCTTGTTGGAGGAAGTGTGTCACTGTGGAGGTGGTCTTTGAGACCCTCCTCCTAGCCATGTGGGAGCCAGTTTTATCCTGTTTGTATTTGGAACAAGATGTAGAAATTTCAGTTCCTCCAGGGCCTGGATGCTGCCATGCTTCCTGCCATGATTGATAACGAGTTGAACTTCAGAACCTGTAAGCCAGTCTCAGTTAAATGTTGTCTGTTGTAAGAGTTGCCTTGGTCATGGTGTCTGCTCACAGCAGTAAACCCTAAGACCTATGTACTTTGAAGAACTGAAAGGAACAGCAGTGGACATGTGAATGCCAGGTGCATATACGCACTAGTCTTTTTCCTGTGACTCCCAACTCAGGCACTCGCCTCCCATCTCCAGAAAGCTTTCACGACAGTAGACAACCTTGAAGCCTGCTCAGAGCTAGTTTAAATAGAGAGAAATTTAAGAAGCCACACATCTTTCCACCTCCCGACCTTGTGCAGAAGTGTGTAGCTTAAATGTAATTGTCTTAACAGTTTGGTGAAAAAGAAAAATATCTGACAGCTGATAATGAAGTCTTACAAAACAATGGAAGTGAGGGAGGCTCTTACTTGGTGATACCTAGTCATTAAAGAAGACTATGGCAGGGCAGTGAACCCAAGTCTGTTTACCTCCTGAAACAGAGATTCTTTTCTTTTTCTTTTTTTTTTCTTTTTCTTTTTTTTTTTTTTTTGCAGGATTTAGCTACTACCCCAGGCTGCCCTGGACTCATTGTGTGTCTCAGGATGGCTTTGAGCTCCCAGCAGTGCTCCTGCCTCAGCCTCCTGAGTGCAGACTGGAGCTGGCTTAGAGCAGAGTTGTGGGGGCATCAGCTTCTTTCTGTCTGCACTTTGATCAGGATCTCCAGGACACTGTCTCAGCCATGGTCAGAAGCATAGGCAACCCTAGGACATTAGAACAGTAAAGAACAGGACAATGTGTGCGGTAAATGAACTGGGCAGAGCATAGCGATGTGTAAAGCCTCATGATTTTAAATATTTCTATAAATATAAATATTAGGGGAAGATAACAATTTTATTATTCCTCGTGCCCTTATTTTAATTCTTCAACCTCAACCCTACCCCAGCTAGAGACGGAGCAAGAACTTGGAACACACTAGTGTCATTCCTGGGCTAAGTTTCTAGCCCTTTGTGTGTGTGTCTCTGTGTGTGTATGTGTGTGCCCGTGCATTTGTGTAAGATGAGGATTTCGTTGGGTATCATCTTCAGGAATGCTGTCCATCTTCTTTGAGATGGTGTCTCTTGTTGGCTGGGGCTTACTACTTAAGAGTAGAGCAGTCAGTGATCAACGACTGGGGCTCTGCCTGTCTCAGCTTCCTCAACATTAAGATTTCAAGCATATGTCACCATGCCCAATTTTTCTGTTCAATTATAAAAGTACATCTATTTATTTTTGTGTGTGTTGGGGGTGGGGGTATGCGCACATCCTGGCATATGTGCAGACGTTACAGAACTGCTTCTATCAAGTAGATTGTGCCTTCCTCACTGATCTCCCTGATTTTCCACCTGGGTGCTGGGGGCCATATTCAGGTCCTTAGGGTTATGAGGTAAGCACTTCACTGCTGGAGCCATCTTTCCCCAGACGGCGTCTTTCATTATTCTAGTGTGTCTTTCATTTGCCTCTGTGTGTGTGGACGTCACTGTGTCCATATGGGTGTCAGAGTACTACGTGAGGAAAAGCAGTGTGAGCCCTGTGTAATTGAACTCAGGCTGTCAGGGTTGGCAACATATCTGTTTATTGACAAGGTTTGTAATTACAAGCTGCTGAATGATTCTGCTCCTGTTTTGTTTGTTTATTTTTGGAGGGGTATCATGTAGCCCTAGTTGGCTTCAAACTGGCCTGACTGGCTGGGTTCTCTTAGCTTGCTAGCTCTGCTGTCTGAGTTCTGGGGCTGTAGGTATGCACCACCATGCCCAGGTCCTCAGATTGACTTTAATACTTTGAACTTTTGTCTCTGACCCCTCATGGGACTGATGTGAAGACAGCTGTGACACATGGTTTCAGTACTTCTAGTTGCCCATACTTACGCTAACCATGTAGGGTTACCTGGGTTCCTTTATTTTCTTATACTCTAATCATTTATAATTTGTTTAGCATTAAAAGTGACACTAGAACTATCAAGTTCAGTCTCCACACCCATTCTTCAAAGTCCTTATGTTTTTTAAATCAGTGTATATTAGCTATATAGAACATTTATCTATTTATATGATGTCCTTTGATCATATTGTCTTCTGCCCCACTGGCTCCCATCTTGTGATCCCCTTATTCTTCCCGAATAGTATCTCTTTTGTCTTCATACACTGTAATCACAGTTCACAGATGGGAGAAAATGGACAGTGTTTGTCCTTCTGAGTCTGGTCTTCTCATTCACTAAATTCTTGTAATTATTTCAAAAAATTCCTTGTCATCTGTGTGCTCTCTTTGCTTGCATTTTAATTTTAAACTTCACACTGTTGAGAGAAACTCAGTATCGTATCAGTGTTGTGGAGTTTGTTTCTTGAATTAAAATGTGTCTGTCATATCCTTGCCTGTTAAGGACTGCACTCAGTACCATAATCTACAACACATAGCCCATAACTTCGTCATCTGTAACAATGCTTTCTGGTTTGGGTTTTCTACAGTATCCTTTTTTCTTGGTGATTTGAAGAATAGCATTTGTTAAAGTGAATGTCTCTGGTTACATTTATCCTTTCTCTTAGAAGGAAATTCTATCTTGAGAAGAAAGAATTGTTTGAAGTATTGTAT